CACCTCTCAAGGTCCCTCTGGATGGCATCCCATTCTGCCAGTGTGTCAACCACACCTCGCAGTTTGGTGTTGCCAGCAAACTTGCTGAGGGTGCACTCGATCCCACTGTCTGTGTCCGTCCATCAAATCCACATCTCTCAAATTTAGAGAAGAGGATGTTGTGCAGGACAGCGTCAAACGCTTTGCACATGTCTGCATACTAAACGCTGTTTGCCTGTCTTTTATCAAACTTCATAACTTATAGGAAGTAGTGACTGATGATTCCTCCTTTCTTTTAATAAAGATTTTTCATTTGTGCATCATCTCCTGAATTTGACAGTTTTATAATTAAATATTGATTGTGAGTTATTTAATGTATATCTCTGTATTGTTTAGAAGTGAAGATTATTAAGAATAGGCAATGAAATCCTTGTATGTACACAACAGCCAATAAGTGATGCATTGCGTGTGCATAATACGATAATATACATGTACATTTCAGATATACCATGCTTGGATGTCACTTGGCAGACTAAAAGCTGTTTCTGTCTTCATTTACATGATATAGCTAAAGGTTTTAGGAGATGGAGAATGCATAAGATACCTTGAAATTCGCCATGTACATCATTATTTCTAAAAATGGAATGACAGACATTAAATTTGTCTCTACTCACAAGACCATGACCTATGCTTGTCTCTTCCAAACTGATACTCAATTTTGACTTTTTTCTCTATGAAATATGAAAGTTTTTTTTATCTTCAGGTGACTTGAAATTAGGTTAAATAAAAACTTTTTTTTCTAATTTGCAGATGTGTTGGCTAGCCAAGAACACTCTGGAGAAATAGCAACTGTTACTATTGATCAGCGTAAGTACTTTTGCCAGCAGTAAATTCACACAATTAACTGTTTGCAGGTTTAGCACTGTACTTTGGTTCAGCGCTATAATAGTACAAGATTTAGAAAATCACTTGAGAGAGTAGTTTTCCTTGGTGAGGGGAGGAGGGCATATTTTAAACTTCGAAGCAAAATGTTGGGTTTCTCGATATTTTGTTACTGACTGAAAGGTGGTGTATGACCTGAACTATGAAAGTTTCTAACTTTCATTTTGGATGGTTTTCCACTCTCTTGAAATAAGCTGTCTAGTGTTGAGGTCTTGAGTTGTTCTGTTTTTTGGGGGGCTTTATATTGCATTAATGAATGGATATATTAAAATGTTATGATTTCAAAAGAGAGCATTTCCAAAAATTGAAAGGGAGCATGGAAGAGAGGACTTGTTTAGAAACCAGTACTAGAAAAAATACATTAAAGTAACTTTCCAGTTATTTGAAACGCATTCTTCCAGCTGAAGAATTATCAGAGTGAATCAATTTTCAGAAAACTTGTAAGCAGCTTATATGTTAAATAGGTAGACCATATATTACATCCTGGTTTTGTGTTTAGTTAAAACCACCTAGAGTGGGGCATTTGCATCCTGTTACACCATTGCAACAGAAGGATATTTAATTGGTGTTTGAATAGCAGGTTTGGAGGGTTGTGCAGTGGCTATAGAGGAAAGTGCATTATGTTGGATCGTATGGGAACAGCATAAAGATGAAAACAAAGGCACAAGAGGGATGTTTTTATGGAAACATACACATGGTAGTAAACTAAAGCTGATGTTTTATCTGTAGTGTGGCATCTCTACTATGAGGCTAAAACCACAATTTTCACTGTAAGAGGTAAAAAGTCTTTAAATTATTCTTAGCATTCTGACTTATACAGTGTGTCTTTTTAGCAAAGGAAAAAACTAGCTCCTAGATGTTATGATAATACAGGTAATAAATAATATATGCCTATTTCTGTGCCAGCAGTTTATAATTGATGTTCTGCAATGTTCTCTGCTTTGCAGCTGTGCAGATTATTCCAGCATCTGTACAGCCTGCTACCCCAACCACCATTAAAGTAATAAACAGCAGTGCAAAGGCAGCTAAAGTACAGAGAGCTCCAAGGATCTCTGGGGAAGACAGAAGTTCCCCTGGGAACAGAACAGGTATTGTCTCCATTATTTTTAAATGCAAATGCAGTAAACACTCATTACTTTGAATTACAGTTTTGTAAAACACATCTTTGTCACTCTAGATGTGAGGTTTGTAGAAGTCCATGTGGTATGAAGGGGGCCGTGCTACAAAATACATCACAAGCACATTGAGAGCTGGCAGGTTATTTAGCTCACGCAGGCACTATGCTAACGTGGTGCCACAGCTTTGAGTCCTGCAGTAAATGAGATGCACAAAATTGTTTCTCTTCCTATCACTTAACAGTCTGTCCTCTGAAACCACTGTGTAGCATTTATTTGAGCTTTTAACTTCTTTCCGTTTGCAGAAAGGGGAGAAAATAAACTGTATGTTGTAGATGTTGTAGAATCCTAGCCTATCTACTATTTGCTCTACTTGTTCCCCTCCCTCCTCCCCACCCCACCACACCCCCGCACCCAGTTTGGTGACTTCAGAATTTAGCAAGTTTCAGATTCCTATTTTGTTAAATAACGCACCTTCTGGAAAACTGCGCACTAAATCTGCAGTTTATTTTTAGAATTACTGTTATTTGTACATACTCTGATTATTAATAACGCATCTTAATTTCTTTATTTTATTTTTTTCTTGCTGACATTTTTGCTTTGGTTCTCTCCACTGTTGTGAATTTTTCTGTTAAAGCCTTTCCTCTCCTTTCCTTTGAATTTTCATTTGTTTTAAACTCTCCATAAATGTCTATTATGATATCATTCAGGATTCTTAGGCCAAGATTTCATCGGCTGACATCAGTGGGGAATACTCTGTTTCTCTCTTTAGACATTGGGTCTGCTATCTGTATCTCGTTGAGAGTTTAGAAATTTAACTGCAGATACTTGAGTTAAAAGAAGTATTAATGATTAGACATGAAAGATGTTATATTGACTTAAGCTGAAGTTTGGGGGGGGTGTATTTCTAAATTGACATTGAAAATTGGAGACTAAACTATTTTTTAAAAAAAACAGCTTCTGTTATATCTATGTGTACATATGCCTGAAGAGGAATAAGCAGCTCTTGCTAAATCTGTTCTATTTTAGGGATAAATATGTCTCTAAATGACTGTGTACTGTTTGTTGGTTTTTTTTTTTCCTTAAGTTCCAGGGACAGATTTATGAGAAATCTTGATTTTTATTTTTTTCCTGTATTGATCAGTTTCTTTTTTTAATAAATACTGATGGCCTTGCAGGAAAATGTTTTCAAAAGAATAATTCAAAGAAATTAATTAAGTGAAAGTTTTCCTTCCGTCATATATTCTGTGTTGGTCTGCTTTAATATGTTGGTTGAAAACTTTTAGCTATGAGGGGAAGATGAAAAGGACTAATTGAAATGGATCTTCTTATCCTTATTTCAACAGGAAACAATGGCCAGATCCAGTTGTGGCAGTTTTTATTAGAACTTCTCACTGACAAAGATGCTCGGGACTGTATTTCTTGGGTTGGTGACGAAGGAGAGTTTAAATTGAATCAACCTGAACTGGTTGCGCAGAAATGGGGACAGCGCAAAAACAAACCCACGATGAACTATGAGAAGCTTAGTCGGGCTTTGAGGTAAGAAACTTTAGGAACTGATCAGATATGAAGTGATTTGCTTCCACTTGGCTACTTGATTTTTAGCTGTCATAATGGAAGACTTGCGACTTTTCTAGAAAAGGGATAAACAGATCCTCTGAAGTTACTCCTTCCTGTCAGATTGTACTAGTCTCAGGGGCAAAGTATTTGTTGGGGTTTTTTTCTTTTTATTTAAAGAAGCTAGTACAATAACTTCTTGAATGTTTGCAACTATATTTTATTTTTTCAGGATTATTGAATGCTGACATGATAGTTTGAGTGGCTTGCTTTTGAAATTTTTTTTTTCAATGTATCTTTCACTTATGCTCTTGGTAGTGTGCCAAACAATATTAATTATTGGTGAAAGATACAGAAATATTTACTTATTTTTATATTTTTACTGTTTACTTGTTCGTGTTCCTCTTGCTCTTGTTATGGTATAAAGTGATACTTCCCTGTAGTTACATAATTGTTAGTACTTTTCTGTATGTAACAAAAGTTTTTCAAAGTTCAGATATTCATTGACCCATTCCATTGTTCTCATAGTGGGGGTGTTAAATTGAAAAATGCAGTTGACAGGTAAGTTTCAACAGTTGTTGTGATCCCAACATAGGGAATTTCTATCATCTGAAGAAAAGGAAGCGTTTCAGGCCGTCTTCATTCCATTATGATTTTGTAGTTTGACATTGTATTATTGAATCACTGCAGATGGTGTGTTTGAAAAGGAGGAAGAATGCAAGTACGTGAATTTTAGACTTTTTTTTTTTTCCCTGATTATTTTGGCCTCTGGAATCATTTGACAATTCATACAAGTTCTCTGAAAACATTAAGATTTAATGTCGAATTTCTTATTCTGTATTGTTAAATCTGTTTCTCTTGATTAGTTTTCAGAAAAGGTATTTATTGCCTAATCCTGCAAATCATTTAAGCAGTTTCAAGAATTATATGAGTGAAGTTGCATATGGTTGAAGTCTCAGATCAAAGATTTACTTTTCAGCATTTCCACTTTTGGCTACACTATTTTTCTAAAAGGAAGTAAACTCAACTAGCATTGCTTTAAAAAAAAAAAAATAAATCAACTTCTCTTTAAAAATACCTCTAAGAGAAGTGATGGCAAAGTTACCGTATTCTGGCTTTCTTTAATCTTTTAGGGAGGATTTAAATAACATCAATATGCATAATGATGAATGAGTACTTTCACTGGGGGAGAGCGAAGTCTAGAAGGCTGTGAATGGCATAGAGTCAGTAAAGAATGACGCCTCAGTATCTCATTTGCATGAACTGGAGGCATCAGAAGAAACTGGCAGGCACCAGATACACAGCTTAACTCTACCCTTCGTTTGTCTTGTAACTTCTTTAAGCACAGTATTGTGGATGCCAGAATTATTTTATGAGTTTGAGAGGAAAGTGGACAAATTAGTGAAAAAGAAGTATTTTGAAGGATATTAAGTATGGAAAGATGCAATTTCTAGATGTTCCTGAGCCCCAGATCTTTGAAAGCAAGGAAGTGCATCATTATATGCTTACTCTGATGCTTTTTCTTGGGCATCCGCTTTTGGTCTGTTGGAGTCTATATCCTGTTCTAGATAGATCTTTAGTCTGGTCTTGTATGGCTGTTCTTGCATTATTTATATATAGTAAATTAGAATGTTACTTTTTTCATAGGATCACAGAATCCCTTGAGTGGGAAGGGCCTCAGGAGGTCTGTGCTCCAACCTCCTGCCCAAAGTGCCTTTCCAGTAGAGCTGCTCCCCAGCCTGTATTGTTGCAATACCATTCCCATATTTCCAACCTGTTTTTGTGAATCTATGCATTTTTGTACTGAAGGTGTATGTGAAAACTTTCTGGAACATAAGCATGATGTAAATGATGCTAACGCTTTTTGGGTTTTCTCAACAAACTCCACAGAAAATCTCAAAGGCAGGTGAAGAAATTCAGAATAATATTCTTATCACTGGGATATTAAACAGATGCCTGCACAGTAATTTGCATAAATCACTATTAGAGAAGTTTTGCATTTATATTTTAGTCACAGAATTACAGAAATCGCATTCCTCAAAATGTTGACATTTTGGCAGCTGCATCAATATTGACATGTTTTCTAACACTTGAATGTCTGAATAATGCATTTGTACTTCAAAGCTGAACGTAAATTATCATCCCACCCTCTAGGTTACAGGGTTCATCTAACCCATTAGAACTAAACCTCCTTGCCTCATAGATCCTCCAACTGATGCCAAGAAGATGCTCTGGAGGATAGGGCTGGCATGGAGAAGTGCTGAGTGGGAGTGGAGTAGCAGTTGAGAACAGGTGTAATGATGTGGTGAAGAAAACAGAGGAGTTGAGGGAGGCACAGGTGTTAGCTTGGGGGGTGGAGTGAGGAGGAGGAGGACTGCAGAGGAAGCTTTCCTATGTGTCATTCAGGAGAAAGGTGGAGGAGGGCTTTGGCAAATGGGCCAGACTTTCTTTACCCAGGGCAATAACAAGCTATTTTGACAGTTCTTACGCTCCATAACAGACCTCTGTGCCTTCCTGCATGGTATTGGTAACCAGCAGGCTTGCCAACATTTTTTCTATGTAGTCTGTCTCTTATCCTGTCTTTGCTTTGGTCCTGTTGCTTAGATCCTGATCCTCAGAAGTAAGAAATTAAAAGGCTTTTGTCCTTTTTTGTCCTTTTTTTTTTTTTTTTTTCCAGAATTTGAGGTGGCTGAAGAAATTTGGTTGGGTTATTAATAACTTCCCCCTTTTCCACAGGAGCTGGGAGACAGAAGTTAGTCTTTTAATTGACTTAATTTTGCTAGCGAATGAGAATCATCTTTGCTTTGCAAGCATGCCCCTCAGAGGATTGGGTTTTAGACAGTCAAGAAATCTGGATTCATTTGTACTCCATTTGGGTGATGGTTTTGAGGAAATTAAATTGTGTGATTATTTTTTGGTGGTGGTGGTTGGTTTTGGTTTTTGATTTTTTTCTCAAATTTATCACAAGCTTGTTAAGTTCATCAAGTCTGAGTTATGTCCCAGCCACTTAGGTTTTCATAATGAGAAATGTAACATGCATTCTATTAATGCCTGCAGTGAGACAAGATCAGCAACAAAACTGTAAAATTCTAACTTCTGTTCTATTGGTATCGCTTAAAGTTTTATAATGTCTCTGGAGTACTATGGGTCATATAGACTTTGTTACCTTTACTGCATTTCTGCTCAGTCTGGTAATTCTTTTGTGACACAACATAAAAATAATTCATAGTTAGAGAAGTCACCTTTAGTTGTAAATAAAGGCACAGGATGTAGTTCTCCCAGCATATGAACTATTTAAAAAAAAAAACCAAACAAACAAACATGCTTTTATAGTTTTATTTCCATCTTTGAAAACAATAAGAAGAGAGCGTCCTCTTTAGTGTTATAGAAACCACAGTGCTAATTTTCAAACTGCTTCCAACGTGAAATTCTTTACCGCAAGGTGAGGGTGGTGAGGGACAGGAACAGGTTGCCCAGAGAAGCTGTGGATGCCCCCACCCTGGAAGTGTTCAAGACCAGGTTGGATGGGGCTTTGGGCAACGTGGTCTAGTGGAGGGTGTCCCTGCCCATGGCAGGGGGGTTGGAACTAGATGGTCTTTAAGGTCCCTTCCACTCCAAACCATTCTGTGATTCTATGATTTTTTTCCTCAGAAAAGCAGAGACAAGTAAAGAAAGCAAAGGACAATAATGAGGGAGAGAGAATATTTTCTTATTAAGGCAAAGCACTATATAAAACTTATTCCCCTCTCCAGTTGTTTTTCAACTGCTCCAAGACTTTCATTTCTGAACCTGTGCTTCTGACTGCTTATAAAATAATTACTATGTTTTATTTCTCCTTAACTATCAAGGTGCTGGGACAATTTTCAACCCTCTTCCCTTTTCTCGTATAAGAAAATGCCTAAAGAGTATCTTCATATATGAAATTAGATGAGAGTCTTGATGTGAAAAAGATTCATATTTTGGCCTTTGACTGACCTTCAGTAAATAACCGATCCATATGGAAGTTACAGATACTGAAAATTTACATTGAGTTTTTCTTTTTTTTTTCTCCCTCTCCTTTTTACAGATATTACTATGATGGAGACATGATCTGCAAAGTACAAGGCAAGAGGTTTGTGTACAAATTTGTCTGCGACTTGAAAACTCTCATTGGATACAGCGCAGCAGAGTTGAATCGGTTGGTCACGGAATGCGAGCAGAAGAAACTAGCCAAGATGCAGCTCCATGGCATTGCACAGCCAGTTACAGCAGTGGCACTAGCTACAGCATCCCTGCAAACAGAGAAAGATAATTAAGCACTAGGACCTGAAAGCGGGAGCCTGAGGCCTTTCCTATATAACCAGAGCAGTTGCTGCTCTTACCTTTATCAGAATTGGAAACTTCTTTTGTTTCTTGACAGTACAATATAGTGTATGATTTTCTACAAAAAACTGGGACTCAGCGTAAATTTGGATCTTTTAACAGCATATATTTCAGTGTAAGGTAAGGGATCACCACAACCTCTGCAACTTTGAGTCAGGGCCTCTGTTGTATGCAATCTGAAATTGGTGAGAAATGTTGAACTGGTCAGCGTTCTGTGTCCACAGCTGTACATAGTAATTTTTGTAGCGCTTTTAACAAAAATGATGTACCTACGGCAAGCAAGCTGATCAGTTGTCTGAACTTAGTCCTTTCCAGTCTTTTGTTCTCTGCTGAGCTACCAAACGGCATTTGATGATTTCAAAGTTAAACATGTTCATTATTCTCATTTAATCAAGCAGAGCTGAAAGACGCGTTAAATGTTAAAAGCATCAGGTTCTTAAAATAGCTTCTGTGTTTATAAGCAAAGGAAACTAAGACTAGACCGAACTGAAGATCAGTGCTGAAGAAGGAGATCCAGGTTTAGATCTGGCTTAGGTGAAAAGCCAATTATGAGTATTTCATTGTGAGATGTAGATAATATGCATATATGAGGGCAAGTAGTTATCTGTTTTGAAAGACAGTGTTAACGCTAGCCATTTAGCAAAAAACAAAGACAAACTTCTCCCCCCACTACCACCCCCCGTCAGGTGATTTGAAAACTTGAAAAAATAGCCCTCGCCCAGAGAGTAGTTTGGTTTGGTGGGGGGTTTAACGCTCTGTTCTGCGAGGTGCTTATACCTGCATGTAGTCAGCCGTAGTAACTGAAGACTTAAGTTAATCACAGTCAGTAGTCCCTGTTTAGAAACAAAATGCAAGTTGAAAATAGTTTTACAGAGAACTGAAGTTTGATTTCCAAATTATTGTACAGTCTGACATATATTAAACTACAAAGATGTGTAATTTTTATTTAAAATTAATTTCTTTCTGAACTTCAAGTGATGTTTTTGAAGCTTCATAAGCCAAGTGCATGCTCCAGAACTGGGTGCAATTTGAAGTCTGGATGATGAGTAGAAATAGTTGGAATGTATCCTGAATTCTGAGCTACAGAGAGTACTTCGTGCAAACTTACACATGCGGTAAAAAATAGGCTGCGACTTCTGAGCTTCTGTACTGACACCCGTTAGACTCTTTCTTTTGATGGCTGAAAATGGTGCAATTTTGGTTTTGCTTTTGCCCTTTCATGTTATGTTCATGTCACCATGCACATTTTCCAACTTTTTATAAGTAAAACCCCCTCTGGTAACACTTAACAATTAAAATGCCAATGGATAAGGGAAAACCTTCAATTCTGTGAGGGATCGAGCTACTCTTAAACCTTAAATTAGAAGTGCTTGTACGGTGAGGTTCTAAGCACAAAATGTGCTTATACTGAGTAGGGAGACCACTGGACTGTTACTCTTGATCTGAAAAGGAATGGTCATACTTGCAGGCAGAGGTCAAAGAACAGAGGAGACTCCTGTTTATTTTCAAGATACATTGAGGATAAAGTTTTTTGTTTATAGGTGGATGTTCATCTGCAGATACTTTTTGCTTAACTAGAAATCTCGCCTACTTTTTTCGTTGTCACCACACTTACAATATTTTTTTTTTGCCAGATTCTTTCCATAACTCTTAATATTGTTTTCATTCTTGAGCTCTTAAAGCATTCCATCTACTGAGCATGCAGGTTTTATTTTGTTTTTAAAAAAAAAAATCTTAAGCCCTGAGCAAAATGCATCTGTCACAAGAGGTCAGCCAGCAATCCATTTATTGCTGTTACGGTCGTCTGATTCCACTAGCTGGCAAGTGTTTGAGGAGACTTACGCAATTAGGTGCAGGTTTGCTTACTAAGAATAAGATGAAGCTGATAGTTCGGTGGCAGCAGCTATGTACAGAACACCGCTCTGTTACTAAACAGAAGTCCAATGCAAGTCACTAGTTATATTTAGCAGAGTTCATGAGAGGCCTTTTTAGTTAAAATGCAGTACAAAAAGGAGAGAAGCTTAAAATATCAGCTTTCTAGATCAAACTGGACTGTGGGAGGATAAACTAACAGCAAAATTGAAATGTAATACCAGTACTTCATCCCTTTGAATGTTCTTGTTACATAAGCCCTCTAGGGGAAACTTCTGATACCACACTTTCTTTGTAAATACATCTGATTATTATTTTGCAGCTTTTCAGTAGGTATGATAGTCCTTTGGGTTCTTTGTTGTGGGATCGTCTGCTTTTCCACCGTGTTCTAACTATTAAAGGAGGAATCTTTCAAACAGTATAAAATCACTGTCACATTCTCTGTAGCTGAGGGAGAAATCTGTGACTAACTTGATGTCTTCAATAAAATAAAAGTTGTAGAATATATTGTCAAAGGTTGTTCTGTTGCTCCCAGAGGGAAAACATAGAAAGAATATTCCCAACTTTTTGTAAAACAGAAGGGTTTTTGCATACTTTTTACTCTTTAAATAAAGACACTTATACTCTGCTAATAATTATGTATTTCTTTTGCGTTTTGCATTTTTTTGGTAATTTTACATGAAACAATTATTTTCTATTTTTACTCTGATAAAATATTTGTGCATAAAATGTCAATATAGTAAAATAAAAAGTTATACAGCTAATGCTTGTTGACTTAGTTTTTCAGAAGGCCATTTGTAATGTCATTCAGGTGCAACCAGTTTAAAGATTAATACATGCACTTTATTCTCATTAAGATCACAAGCTCGTTAAAGAAGGCAGATTGTCTTATTTGCTGAAGATGCATCTTTGACTCAATGCTTGGCTATGTGACTACTTTTAAAGTGGAACTCGGTGTCCTTCATTACTGCAACAGCTTTAACTTCTTAACTGTAAGTCTTAAAATGGTGCTTTGACAAAAATAATGATGGAAGTTTAACAGTAGGATGAAATGGAGCCCTGTAAAATAGTTTTATGCATTTAGGAGTGTTTAAATATGAAAGGTTCGTGTTGAACTGTAATATCAAGACTTTGTTTCATTCTTGCAAATAGCCTCACTTCCTTCCTGCTAACTGAATTGTTAGTACTGTCCTTGTTAAAAAGATAAAATTCTGATTATACTGTTATTGCCTTATTTTTAAATCGTGTCTCAATGGAAATATACCTCTGAACTCCACCATCTGGATTGCCAAATTCAAGACTGAAATATTTTGTCATCTTTAAACCTACCAGATCACTTGATTTCAAAATGTTTATGTTTTGCTTTGCAGCAACAGCATGTAACGGACTGAAAATAGTATTTTAGAACATTTCAGTAATTTGTGGGCCTTTTTTTAAAGTGCACTTACACGTGTTCAGTGTCTTATTAATTGAGGACCTTTTATTTGTAGTTTATAGTAACGCGTCAGTGAGAGTTTGTTGTGGGATTCCCATTCTCAATTTTTATTGGAACGATATAGGGAGTTACAAACTAACAGCTTGCAATTATCAATTTTAAGCAAAATAAGCTGACATGGGGCCTGATAGTGAAAGAAGGGTGATATAAGGTCCATTGATACAGGTTTATGGGAAACATTTATTCATTTTTTTGAAGAGCGTGATACAAGATTCATTTACACAGGTCTATGGTGAATATTTTTACTGACTGGACTGGGGTTTTTTGTTTTTCAAGATAATATATATTGTTAAAGGCTGTGGTTTTAATGTAGCTATATCAGGGCTTCTACAATGTGTTTGGTTTGATGCTGTGTAGGTTTTCTTCTGGAAAAGTAATTTTTAATACAGATGATGCTAAAAAGAATGTTACTTAATAATCAAAGGAGTGGAATGTTTGGTTTTGAGAGTTGTAATGTGGGACTTGATACATTAGACATATTATGACTCAATTACATTTTGCATCTTTATTTCAGGATTAGACCCCACAGCATCATATTGGGCACCAAACTGAAATTTTATCATGTAATTTTAGAGTATTGACATCTCAGCCATTAATAATTTGAAACTGAGGTTTAAAAAATGCTGAGGAGGAAGGAAAAAAATATTGAGTGTCTGCCTTTAATTAAAATTGTATTTTATTCATGGAACTGGGCCTCTGGAAACCGAAATAAAATGGTGCTAACGGCAGCGGTATTGGAAGAAACGTCTTGTAACCTGTGAAACAGTTCTCTTTTACCTGGAAAAACAGAGGAATTGATGGTTGTGTTTGTGGTTTGGGACACGCAATGTCCAAGTAGGTTCTTGTAGGTGGTGTCACCGTAAGTGGCTATGATAGGAAAGAAAGAATCCAATGGTAATCAAGGCAATCACAGTTGTAAGTAACTTACTTATGCAGTTACTTACTAAAAACAAAGGCAGTTTAAGAGGGGAGATAACTGCATCAGAAACAGTTGAAATCCTCATGTAAATGGTTGTGTCATGTTACCCTGTTGCCAGAGTTGAAATGGTCGTTCAGAAACAGCAGGGGAAATGCCTGTTCACTTTAGCACAGCTGTGCTGAGTGTGGAAACTTGTGGAAACATTTAATTTTGTCCATTGAATTGCTTCAGGTGTTTGCTACTAATGACCTAAATGAGCTGGGAGTCTTAATATTAAAAAACCCCACCAACCACTGTATCTGGTATCTTAAGACACTTTTTTTCCCTTACCTTTGCAACCTGCCTTGTAACCTAGATGGAAGAAATTGGCATTTACGAGTTGCATTTCTAGTCCTGTGGGGGCTACGTATCAGAATTCACTAATCAAAGTAAAATACCTCCATCTCAGTAGACAAAAAGCAAATTATATGTATTATATTATGTGTCAATTATAACTGAAGCAAGCATGGGTGGCACTAAGCAAACTGTTTCTTAGAAGATTTGTTGTTTGACATTCCTTCCACTTAGGGAAAGGTATTTTGGGATGAAAAAAATGTTAGTTAGCTGTTTCCCAATTCATCCCGCTAAGCTTAGGCTTTTCAACATTCTCATTTTCAAGGACTCGGCAGGAACTGCTTCATAGGAACTGGGTTTGCAAAAACCTTCAGCTGCAGAAGACAATGAAAACCAGTATGTTTAAAAGAATCTAAGAGTGAAAGCTGCCAACAGCATGCATGGAAAAAACGAGTCTGGAAGAGTGAGAATGCAAGAGATGAGATTTAATGAGATTAACTAGGGGGAAGGACACCTGTAGGGTGCAGTTCTTTAAACTTCAGGGTTAGGACAGAAAGAGTATGCAATTATTTTATTTCTTTTTTTCCCTCATGAAAGCAAGATTTTATTCCAGGAATTCAAAGCCGCATTATT